CTGGGGAGGCTGAGGCACAAGAATCACTAGAACCTGGGAAGTGGAGGTTGCAGTGAGCCGAGATCAAGCCACTGCAGCCTAGGCTGGGCAACACAGTGAGAGTCTGTCTCACAAAAAAAAAAAAAAAAAAAAAAAAAGAAAAAAAGGCAGCACTTCCCTGCTGTGCTATGAAACACTAGGTCTTGTTCATTCCTAATAACTATTTTTTTTTTACCCGTTAGCCATCCCACCTCCCCCAGCCCTCTGCTATCATCCCGGCCTCTGGCAACCACCCTTTCCCCTCTCTGTCTCCACAGGTTCAAGGAGTTTGATTTTTAGATCCCACAGGTTAAGTGAGAATATGCCATGTTTGTCTTTCTGTGCCTAACTTGTTTCATTTAAAATGGTAACCTCCGGTTCTCTTCATGTTGTTGCCAACGACTGAATCTTCCTTTTTATAGCTGAATAGTATTCCTCTGTGTATTCCACATTTTCTTTATCCATTCGTTTGCTGAAAGACACTTAGGCTGCTTCGACATCATGGCTATTGTGAACAGAGCTGCAACCAACAGGGGCGTGCAGACGTCTCTTCAATATATTGATTTCCTTTCTTGTAGGTGTATACCCAGTGGTGGGATTAATGGATTTGAGGGTAGCTCTCTTCTTAGCTTTCTAATGAACCCCTAAACTGTTCTCCCTAGTGGGGTACTAACTTAGGTTCCTACCAACAGTGTATGAGGACTTCCCTTCCTCACAACCTCACCAGCATCTGTTACTGCCTGTCCTTTGGATAGAAACCGTTTTGACCGTGTGAGATGATATCTCATGGGAGTTTCATTTGCATTTCTCTGATGATCATGATGCTGTGCATTTTTTCATATGCCTGTTTGCTTTTTTTTTTTTTTTTTTTAAAAGACAGAATCTTGCTCTATTGCCAAGGCTGGACCATAGTCTCGGTTTGATCTCTGCTCACAGCAACCTTGGCCTCCCAGGCTCAAGTGATTCTGCTGCCTCAGCCGCCCAAGTAGCTGGGATTACAGGTGTGCACCACACCATGCCCTGCTCATTTTGGTATTTTTAGTAGAGGTGGGGTTTCACCATGTTGGTCAGGTTGGTCTTGAACTCTGGACCTCAAGTGATCTGTCCTCCTTGGCCTCCCAACGTACTGGGATTACAGGCATGAGCCATCACACCTGGCCGCTGTTTTTTTTTTTTTTAATTTTTTGAGACAATGTCTAGCTCTGTTGCCCAGGATGGAGTGCAGTGGCACGATCTTGGCTCACTGCAGCCTGGACCTCCCAGGCTCAAGCTATCTGTCCATCTCAACCTCTCACGTAGCTGGGACTACAGGAATGAACCACCATGCTTGGCTGATTTTTGCCTATTTTTGTAGAGATGGGATTTCACCATGTTGCCTAGGCTGGTCTTGAACTCCTGGGCCTAAACAATCTGCCAGCCTTGGCCTCCCAAAGTGCTGAGCTTACAAGCATGACTCAACATGCCTGGCCTTGTTTTCCATCCGTATGAGTTCGAGAAACGTGTATCGAAAGCTTTTGCCCATTTTACTGACTTTTTCCTAAGAGTTGTTTCAGCTCCTTATACACTCTGGTTATGAACCCCTTCTCAACTGGGCAGTTTGTAAATGTTTTCTCCCATTCTGTGGGTTGTCTCTTCACTTTGCTGACTGTCTCCTTTGCTGTACGGAAGCTTTTTAACCTGATGGGATCCCATTTGTCCATTTTTGCTTTGGGTGTCTATGCTTGTGGGGTATTGCTCAAGGAATCTTTGCCCAGAGAACAATGTCCTGGAGGGTTTCTCCAAGTTTTTTTTTTTTTTCTTTTAAAGACGGGGTTTCATCATGTTGGTCAGGCTGGTCTTGAACTCCTGACCTCAGGTGATCTGCCCGCTTTGGCCTCCAAAGTGCTTGGATTACAAGCGTGAGCCACCACGTCCGGCTGCAAGTTTTTTCTTGTAGGAGTTTCATCATTTGGGGTCTGAGATGTAATTGTTTAATCCACTTTCATTTTATTTTTGTGTATGGCAGGAGATAGCGGTCTAGTTTTCTTCTTGTGCGTGTGGATATCAAGTTTCTCTAGCACCATTTGTAGAAGGGAAGTCTTTTCTCCAGCGTATGTTCTTGGCACCTGTGTCAAAAATGAGGTCGCTGCAGGTGTGTGGACTTGTTTCTGGGTTCTCTCTTCTGTTCCATTTGTCTCTGTGTTTGTTTTTGTGCCAGTTCTATGCTGTTTTGATCACCATAGCTCTGAAGCATAATCTGAAGTCAGGTTAAGTCCTCCAGTTTTGCCCTTTTTGGTTAGGACAGCCTTGCCTATTCTGGGTCTTTTGTGGTTCCATATAAATTTTAGGATTTTTTTTTTCTATTGCTGTGAAGAATGTCGTTGGTATTTTGGTAGAGACTGCACTGAATCGCTGGATTGCTTTGAGTAGTATGGACATTTTAACAATACTAATTTTTTTTTTTTTTGGAGACAGAGTCTCGCTCTGTTGCCAGGCTGCAGTGCAATGGCACGATCTTGGCTCACTGCAACCTCCGCCTCCCAGGTTCAAACAATTCTCCTGCCTCAGCCTCCCGAGTAGCTGGGACTACAGGCGCACGCCACCAGGCCCAGCTAGTTTGTATTTTTTAAGTAGAGACGGGGTTTCACCATGTTGGCCAGGATAGTCTCTATCTCTTGACCTCGTGATCTGCCCGTCTCAGCCTCCTAAAGTGCTGGGATTACAGGCGTGAGCCACCGCACCCGGCCAACAACATTGAGTCTTATAATCCATAAATGTAGAAAGCTTTCCACGTTTTGGTGTTCTTTTCAATTTCTTTCATCCATGTTTTATAGTTTTCATTGTAGAGATCTTTCACTTCTTTGATTAATTCCTAGGATTTAATTTTATTTATGACTCCTGTAGCGGGGACTACAATACAGGTATCATTAATCTTACAATATGAAAACTGAGCCATAAAAATGAGTTTTAGACATGTCTATATAAATTAAAATGTCAAGTGTACTCAGTAAGAATCCTATTTAAAAAACCCACAATCTCACTAAAAAATATAAACAAAAGCCACTTATTATGTCTAGAGGAATTTAAATATAGCACTGGAAATTGCCAATTATGGAAGATCTTAAAAGTGAGATATACTACACAGTATGATACAGGCTAAACCTGTAGATTATATGCACTAAGGGATTTATTTTATTATTATTTTTTATTGAGATGGAGTTTTGCTCTGTCACCCAGACTGGAGTGCACTGGCGCAATCTCGGCTCATGGCAACCTCCACCCCCCAGGCTGGAGTGCACTGGCGCGATCTCAGCTCACGGCAACCTCCACCCCCCAGGCTGGAGCG